AAAAAAAAAAAAAAAAAAAAAGCAAGAAAAAAATCAAAAGGACGTTGTCGAAAGCTGTTTACTGACCGTGGTTGTGTCACTTGTGTGTTTAACAGGTGGCGGACATCCCCCGGACGTTGGATAATAATCCAGCGCTGAAGCAGCGAATCATTCTGAGGGAACCTCTCACAACCCCACTGAATGTGCAACAAGTGATTACTCTGAAGAAGATGCGAGAAATGTTTGTTCTCGGCGCTCCTCCGGCTAGCGATGTGCAAACGATACGCGACGTCGTGACGCTCAACTCCGACAGCTCGTACGCTCCCGGGCTGGAAGACACTCTCATCCTCACAATGAAGGGTGTCGCTGCAGGCATGCAGAACACAGGCTAAGATGTGCCAAGTACGTGCGACATCATATCTCGCTCAACTCTGACTGGCGACTTGCACGCTCCCGGCCTGCAAGTCTGGAATACATTCTCATCGACGCCTTCGAAGGGTGTTGTGCTGACCTCAGAGTCTCGTAGCAGCTGACGTCTGGCGCCAGAACTTGATTGGGGGGGGGGGGGGGGGTTTGAATCCTGCCCACGTGTTTTTCACACACAAGCATGCAGAACACAGGCTAAGATAAGAAAGAGGTGCAAAGTATGTGCAACGTCGTCGTCACCCTCGATCAACTCTGACAGCTCGCGCTCCCACCAGCCTGGAAGAGACTCTCGTTTTTGCACGATGAAGAGTTTGTTGCTGCAGGCATGCAGAACACAGGTTAAGCACAGTCGTCTTCCCCCCGCCCAGAAATCACATCGCGCGGGAGATTATGAATGAATGTATTCAAGGTATCTTTGTGCTCTGATGCGGTCAGGGTGAAGATGCGCTACACTCGGGGAAAGAATCTAGAATCTAGCTTGCCTGTCTTGCCAGCTACCCGTCGACATTACTGTAAAAGATTCCAGGCTCACTTCTCTCAGAGAAGGTGTGTTCATTGTTACACTTAGCAGTTTTTTTGCAGACAGTTTTCACTTCTTGTTGATGTTGCGGCTGGCTGGCTGATTTATATATACACTTACTAGATGGCTCGTTCATATATACGATATATATATGTCACAGCCCCTCGTTTGTTGTCCTCTTCTCCCTCTCTGCCTACGGTTTACCGGGCAGTTCTATTTGACGATATATATATGTATGTACTATAGTTATATTTGCATATATGTACTTATACATATATGATATATATATATACATATATGTACTATATACATATATGATATATATATACATATATGTACTATATACATATATGTAGTATGTACTATATATACATATATGTATCACATACACTCACATCATCAGTGACATGTGTGTGGCTTGGTCTCTAACTCTGGCAAAACAGAATGCTGGCTGGCTAGCTGTCAGAGTATCCGATTGTCGCTGGCACATATATTTAATATTATTTATCTACACATACATTTTGTCACATGGTCATAAAGTAAGAGACCATCTCTGCCCCCACCGGCGGCGCCAACCGCTCAGTGCGCGCACCGTAACATCCAACCGGCCCTTCATTGTGAGGTTGCTATGCATGCAGGGGTTCCCTGCATAACTCTAGTAATAGTGGTAGGTAGTTTGAGAAAGGTGGATTCAGAGAAGAATACAGCTTAGTTAAAAAAAAAAAAAAAAAAAAAAAGGGAGCGCATCTCTGAAACAAACACGAAAATGGAAGGTGCTCCACTTTTCTGCAGCTCAGCGGGAAGTATAATGCCTGCCTGCCTGCCTGCTGTTGGTTCATTGGGTATGGGACCGGCTTGTGCTCCCTCAATGCTGCCGCCTTAGGCAATTTTGTTGGTTCCCACCAGTTAGCAGGCTGGGTAGCCTGCTACGATAATCATCTGACTTTAGCCTCACTGATGGTCATCTGGTTTAAGATTTAGGGTTTTGGGGGTAAACGAGGGCTTAGGGTCTTATGGGTTTGAGGTCTAGGGTTGAGGGATGTGCCATTTGGGATGCTCATCGATCAGCAAGTTTCAATGCTCCTGGAAAACTAAGATACATGAGCTGTGCTTTCACGGTCACGCTTCGTGCGGGAGTACTGGCTGATTTGCCTGCTCATTCATTGGTGAGCACAACTATAACTGAGGAAGAGTTTCTTTATGCAGGGGAAGGGGGTTGGTAGTTCTTGACAAAATGCGTGTGTGTGTGTGTGTGTGTGTGTGTGTGTGTGTGTGTGTGTGTGTGCGCGAGAGAGAGAGAGCACGCGAGAGACGAGAGAGAGAGAGGGCACAAGAGAGAGACGGGAGAGCGCACGAGAGAGACGAGAGAGAGAGAGAGTGCACGAGAGGGACGAGAGAGAGAGAGAGAGAGAGAGAGCTGTCTCTTATACACATCTAGATGTGTATAAGAGACAGGTGTGTGCCCGTAGGGTGTGTCGTGCCTGTACGG